AGCTATGAAAAAGGGCTTTCATACCTGCTGCCGGAGTGCCACGCATTCCTCCACGCCAGCACACACAAGCGGAGATCAAGTTAATATCGGCTAGGGCTCCCCTCCTTCCTCTCTTAAATGCCACCACCTGAGATGGACTGAGGGCACCCCTGGAGTCACTCACAGCACAGTGATTATGCAGGGGACAACACGTCCCAGGTGTGTCCCTCAGATCTGTGGACTGGGAGCTGGGGGGGCAGCAGCAATGGGCCTTCTGGAAGGGTCCACACTCACTCCCTTCCCATCCATCCCCAAGGCACTCTGCTGGGCTGAACCCCTTCCACCACCTGCTCTCAAGCCACTCACCCCAACAATGTCCTGAGCAAAATGTGTCAGGCCAGAAGGAATGATTTTCGGTGGTGACTCCCCAAAGAGTCTCTGATGTAGGAAGCCACTGGTTGCAGCTTAAAGACCCAGTGTGCAGAGCAGTATTAGTTTATACGTGTTTATATATTTTTCCTTGCAGGTTCTTTGTTTTTTTTTCTCTCCAGTGAACAAGAACTGGGGCTTTTTCATTTTCTCTTTCCCCCAAACCCTTTGGGAAAAGCTGCAGGAGCACTCAGCTGACAGACTGGCTGGCAATTATAAAACCAAACAAATCAAGAAATTGATAAATGCTATACATTTTAAAACAGTGTATATTTTAAATAAACCACCAACATCCTAAGTGTCTGTAGGCCAAGCTGGCAGCGTTTGGAAGATTAGAACATAAAGGCTTCGAAGGGACCACATCTAGATCTCAGACAAGTCACCTTGAGCAACACAGCAAAGACCAAGTGTAGTGGTGCAGGAAGGGGTTGGCAGAATCCAGACCAGCCCGTCCTCTGCCTTGTCCACAGCCCCGAGGCTGAGGTGGAGGATTCTGGGTTTCTCACACCTGAGCTCCGGGCAGCAAAGCCGAAGGGTCTGGTTCTCAGACACACAAGCGTCAGTGTGTTCGAGAATTACTGGAGGAGCTTGTCAGCCTGCAGAGTCCTGTCCTCCCCACTCCTCCAAGAGAGCGGAGGTGTGACGTCTGGGCTTGTCACAGCGATGTGCTGGAGCTGTCACACACGGACTCAAGAGAGCTGATTGTTAATTTTTCAGGAATTCTGGGAATTGGTTGTTAAACACAGCTGTCATTAAAAATTGAATTATATGAACATATGAATTATATTTCAAAGGTATTTAATACTCAAAACATATCACTTCCTAATTATTTTACTATCATCTATACTCGGGATTATTTATATCTATTGTGTCTATATGAAAAAAATACAGTCATGTGCTGCATATAGATGTTTCAGTATTAACTTTTGCAAAAGGGGAGTAATTTTTAACAAGAATAGAATTGCTTCCTAGCACTCTGGGAGGCCGAGGTGGGCGGATTGCTCGAGGTCAGGAGTTCAAAACCAGCCTGAGCAAGACCCCGTCTCTACCAAAATATAGAAAGAAATTAATTGACCAACTAAAAATATATATACAAAAAAAATTAGCCGGGCATGGTGGCGCATGCCTGTAGTCCCAGCTACTCAGGAGGCTGAGGCAGGAGGATCGCTGAGCCCAGGAGTTTGAGGTTGCTGTGAGCCAGGCTGACGCCATGACACCCACTCTAGCCTGGGCAAGAAAGTGAGACTCTGTCTCAAAAAAAAAAAAAAAAAAAAGAATAGAATTGCTACCTAAGAGTTCTTGGAGAACAAGTTTTGAAAAATGTTAGTGAATAAAATAAATGGCATACAGTTGTGTGTCATATAATGACATTTTGGTCAAGGATGGACTGTATATGTGACGGTGGTCCCATATGACACCATACATGTCTTTCCTATACCTTTTCTAGTTAAGCTGTGTCTCGATACACAAATTCTTCCCATTGTGTCGCAGCTGCCTACCGAGTTCAGCACTCACAGGCTGTGCGGGTCTGCAGCTCGGAGCCACACAAGCTGTGCCTTACAGCCTAGGGCTGCGGGAGGCTGTACCATCTGGGTTTGTGCAAGTGCACTCTATGATGTTTGCACAATGACAAAATCACCTAATGACACATTTCTTGGGATGTGTCCCTGTCGGTAAGCGACGCATGACTGTATATGCTATGCCGGGCAACCGCACATGTCTTCCTAACTCCGCATTCGGTGATTTCATATTGGCAGCCCGGACCGGCCATGGTGAGAGGATCTACACCATGGCAGTCAGCCCGGTTATAGTGCAGGGCTGCACAACCTGAGCGCCCGTTAGGCACTTACCAGCACACTGGAGGCTTGGGGCAGATTCCAAAAGTCAACTGGAAGAAGCTCTTCTTGTCACAATGCTGCTAACTACAGACTCGGGGGGCCCAGGCTACCTCTGTGCTCTGGGAAGGGAATTTAGGTGCTGCCTCCGAAGCTCTGTGAATGACCCTGTGACCTCGGGCAGGTTACTCCCCCCTCTGTGCCTTACTCCTGTCATCTATAAAATGGGGGTGCTGCTAGTGTGCCCCCCGCTGTGTGGCTGTGAGGACTAACCGATGAGGTGCGTGCATTACAGTCCCCAGAACACAGCCTGGTAGGCAGAAGACACTTGATCATCGTTACTCGTTATGATGATCTGACAAAAGAAACTTTAGTCCAGCAGATTATCTTTTTTCTTTGATAACATTTACTATTTCTTCTTATGAGACTCCTACACCTTCTTTGCAGAAGATTTAGAAAATATAAATAATCACGATGAAGGAAAGAAAAGCACCCATCTCTAGCACCCTGTGAATACTCTGGTGTACCTTCAGATTTCCAGTCTTTTCCCAAACCCAGATGCCATTCTTGACATCCTTCTGGAACGGGACCCTCTGGTGTGCTAACGAGGGAGATTTGGCCACGTTTCCTCTCCCACGCTAGGCGGGGGCGAGCTCAGGTCTTTGACATGGTCCCCGAGCTGTGCTGGGACACGCCGGGACGGCTGGTTTCTTCGCCATCTGGAAGGGCGACTGGCAACGGGAACAGCAGCGACAGGGCTGGCACTCTACAGTTTACTTTCTCAATCATTTAGAAGGATCCTTCTAATCCATTTATTAGACAAATATTTGTTGCACACATAGTAGCTACAGCGGGGTCTGAAGTAACAAGGTCTCTTGTTCTTATTAACGAGCTTAATAGTATTGACAGTGTGAAGCACTATTTAGGACGGTAAGAAATATTAAGAAAATCAAACTAGATTTTCTTTTAATCAACTAAAACTGTGCTTGGCAGGAAGAGCCCCTTTGTCCCAATACACTCCACTGGGGCCATGAGGAGGTAGCGCGAGTCTACCGCGGGCATGCGCACCCGGCGGGCATGCGCACCCGGCGGGCATGCGCACCCGGCGGGCATGCGCACCCGGCGGGCATGCGCACCCGGCGGGCATGCGCACGAGTTTGCTGTGTTTCTGGTAGGCGTTCGGGCACCTGCTGAGTCTACCATCTTAGGATTCTGAGCATATTCTCCCTGCAGGAGCCCAAACCAAGCCGACTTCACCACTTCGTTCTGTGCTCAGCCCACTGCCCAGGGTAGCCTAGGCCGTCGCCCATTGCCCGAAGAGACGCAAGGGGCGCTGGGCTCAGGCGGAGACAGGCATGGATCTCTAATGCTTACGGGTTTTTGTAAGGGTAATTTTGACAATAGGGGATTTGTGCCTCTCCCCCGACTTTAGAACCTAAAGCTTGCAAAGGACACCCCTCAACTCCTCTCTTGCTGTGCCCCTGGCTCTGCAGCAGGGCCCAGGGCCCCGGTGGCAGCTGATGCGTAGGGCCACCTTCAGCAATAGTCAGGCCACCGTTCACCTTCAGGTGGCCTGGTCTGTGTGGCTTTTGTATCTTAGTGACGCAAGGAGCCACCACAGAAATGGATCCTTCAGCCCTCCCTTGAGCTGACGCCACTAGGAGCAGAGAGGCGTCCCTACCAAGTCTCACCCACGCGGCAGATGCATGAGTAAAGTGCACAGAAATGACTGTTGTTGTAAGTGACTACGTTTTGGGATGGTTTATTATGGGACATTTCTAAAACCCTTGGCCTGGACCGAGGGGTTTCTCAGGATGTGTGACTTTCAGCACTGAAATCGTGGCAATCCCAGGCAGACTGGGACGGTTGGGCGCCCCAACCTTCTACCAGTTCTGTCTATGAGACATGCCCGTATGTTTCTTAGCCGAATGGCCCCGAGATGGAGATAATGTAAGTCCTCCACGTGCTGGACAAGGTGTTGGCGGTATTTGTCTTCTGGCTGAATTTCATTCCACCCCACCCGGAGCAACGTGGTCTGAGCAGCTAATCCAGGAACTGGAGACGGGAGCCGTCCCCAGATGCCCCATGGCTGCTGCGTCTCCCGAAGCAGGCTCAGCCTCAGGGCTGCTGCAGCAGGTGTCCTCTGCCTGGGACACTCACAGCCCGGCTCTTTTTACTTCTTTGAATTCCCTTATTTATCTGCTTGTTTACTGATGGCTGCTTCCCACTGGAATTTGAGCCCCACCAGGCAGGGAGAGGGGATAAAGCACTTACTGCTTGGTCAAGTAGGAGGTGCTCAAAACATATTTTTCTTAAAAGCTGAAAGAATGAAGGCATTGGGAGGTTGCTCATTGATAGTTAGACAGGTCCAGCTCCCACCGCAGCAGCAATTTCCTACAGTGAGAACCCCGGCAGGTGGCAATTCTCCTGCGGGATGGAGCACTCCAGTCCATACTTCACAGAGCAGCCCGCTCCATCCCATTCTTTTTTCTTTTTGAGACAGTCTCACTTTGTTGCCCAGACTAGAGTGAGTGCCGTGGCGTCAGCCTAGCTCACAGCAACCTCAAACTCCTGGGCTCAAGCGATCCTCCTGCCTCAGCCCCCCGAGTAGCTGAGACTACAGGCATGCGCCACCATGCCCAGCTAATTTTTTCTATATGTTTTTAGCTGGCCAATTAATTTCTTTCTATTTCTAGTAGAGACGGGGTCTCGCTCTTGCTCAGGCTGGTCTCGAATTCCTGACCTCGAGCAATCCGCCCGCCTCGGCCTCCCAGAGTGCTGGGATTACAGGCGTGAGCCACCGCGCCCGGCCCTCCATCCCATTCTTAAAGAGCATTTCAATGTGACATTGGCAAACATCTACCTGTGGTTTTTATGGCCGCTGTCTGGGTCTCTCATCCCAACTGCCTCCAGGGGTCAGCTCTAGCTCACGCCATCCCACCTCCGGCTGAGGAGCCGGGACAAACCTCTGGCCCTCCTGGCCTCAGGTGTCTTTCTGCACACTGGAATACCTCATTCTAGCATGCTGAGGACAACAATATAGCCTGAAGGATTCTGAAAACTTGCAAAAATCAAGGAAGCAAACTTTTTTTTTTAAACATAAGAGGATGGGAAAAGCCAAAGAAAGTACCACCCCTCCCACCCAAGTCTTATGCTTACTCTGGATATACTGGGATCCGGGTTCTGCCTCTCAAGCTCTTATTTAGCAACAACATAAAAGAACATCTCCAATTATGGACTACACTCAACTGTTGCAGTAAGACAGTAGTTGTGTTCCCCCAGGTTAGAATCTTCCCGGGCAGTGGCTCCACTTGAGGAGCTGCGTGTCCTGTGGGCCCTGCAGAGAGGAGCTGGGCCATGCTGGAGCCGGGCAGTTGTGGGAACCTGGGGCATGTGGCCTCTTGTCCCAGAGCCTGTGAAGCCCTTAAGTCTGAGGCGTCATGTTCCGCACATGTGTGCTCTCAAGGTGTGGCCCCTAAACCAGAAAAACAAACAAGACAAAGCCCCAAAAGGTCAGCCCCACTGTGGCTCTTGTTTGTCTTGGAACCAGCAGGAGTCTTGATGCCTGGTGCCGCTCTGCCTACGTGGTTGAAATGACCATGACCATGAGGACAGCTTGGCTCTGGACAAAAACAACACCTCCCTGGATGCCGAGACACTGTACTTCATGCCAAATCCTTAGGGCGGCTGGAGAAGATCGCAGAGTGAAAGCGGGGACCTCCTGGGATGCTCCCTTACTTACTTAGACCTCTGGGCATCCGCCTTCGTCAGTTTCATTTTAATTAGCCCAGTGAACCAGCCTCTACCTTTCAAAGGGATCTGAGGGAAACCTTTCTGCCAAGTCTCGACTGAGTCTCTGTGACACTCAAGAACGTGGGCCAGCCAGGCTCCTGTGTAGGTTAGGGAAGTCTGAGAAAATGAAGATTATAGGGAAACAGTCTACCTTTCTTTACAAGGCCTTGTTTCGCATCCCTGAAATCTCAGATTCGGCTATTACAATGAAGTCCTGTTGTAGAAAGAGCTGGCCTTTTATCACCACTTAAAATCTAATTAATCCATATTGAAGCACAAAGATTTCTGTTGTATTTTAGGGTGAGGGGTCATAGAGACCTCTTTGTTCATCCTTAGACTTATAATCATCAAGCATTGAGGATATAATTTTACCAAGCAAATTGGAAGGTAACAGATCAAATCCTTATCAGAGAGCCTAACTCATAGTTTTAACAGAGTCCTTCGTCCTTTACATGAAACATTATATTGGAGAAGAACAAAAACGCATTTCAGAGTACCTAAAGAGTTAATGCCCAAGCTTATATTCCAGGCAGCATAGAACTGAGATCGTCACACTACTGTCAACCACAAAGGACTGCAGATCCTATAGGGGTGGCAACGTCCTACGATTTGTCACAATGGCTTTACTCTTTAGAATAGCAATGCAGTCTGTTGGACTTTTATTATCTTTGCTGGGATGGGTCTTATCTATTATTACAACTTATTTGCCACACTGGAAGAACCTCAACCTGGAGTTAAATGAAATGGAAAACTGGACCATGGGACTCTGGCAAACCTGTGTCATCCAAGAGGAAGTGGGGACACAGTGCAAGGACTTTGATTCTTTCCTGGCTTTGCCTGCTGAACTCAGGATCTCCAGGATTTTAATGTTCTTGTCAAATGGGCTGGGATTTCTGGGCCTGCTGCTCTCTGGATTTGGCCTGGACTGCCTGAAGATTGGAGAGAGACAGCAGGATCTCAAGAAGCGACTGTTAATCCTGGGAGGAGTTCTGTTCTGGATGTCGGGAATCACAGCCCTGGTTCCTGTCTCTTGGGTCGCCTACACGACGGTTCAGGAGTTCTGGGATGAGGCCGTGCCAGAGATTGTCCCCAGGTGGGAGTTTGGGGAAGCCCTCTTTGTGGGCTGGTTTGCTGGATTTTCTCTTCTGCTAGGAGGGTGTCTGCTCCACTGTGCAGCCTGCTCCAGCCGAGCTCCTTTAGCTTCGGGCCACTATGCCGTGGCAGAGATGCAAACTCAGTGTCCGTACCTGGAAAATGGAACCGCAGATCCTAAAGTGTAAGATTTTGACAAGGCCAGAGAGATGCATCCTACATAAACCGTGATGACAAGAGGTCTTTGTTACATAATGAAATCTGTGCTGCTCACATTTTCTCACTCAATAACTCTTTTTCTATACTAGACCCACCTCCACTTAAAATATGGAAAAAAATGAGAGAAAATCTTATATCTAAAAGAAAATTATTAACGTAAGCATTACATAGTTAGGAGTGAAAAAATTTCATTGACCTGGTTATATAAATCAGTGTGTGGTGGTGGCTGCCCAATATAGTCAGTCTTAAGCTTTGAGGCATTAATTTTATATTAGAAAGCTTTTTGTTTGTTTTTGTTGGTAGTAGGAAACAGTTTCTGTTTCTTAAAAAAAAAAAAAAAACACCTAACAATCTGAAATCTTTTAAGTGCTCTACGTTCATAAAACCACATGCTAAGCCAACCCCAAAGTGTTAGTTCCACAGCAATGACTTTGGTCTTCTTCAAACACAAGAGGTTTGTGTTTAGGAAATTACTAGGCACCTTGTGTGACAGGATTTTATGAGGCGAAGGTTTTCAGTACATTGTGATACTCTTTCTCCTATTTAAAATACTGGCCAATCTCTTCTCTCATCTCTTCCTCAAAAGCTTCACATTAAAAAAAGAAAAACAATTCCAAAGATATTTTTCTTGCTATCTAGATATTGTCAGTTCATTTGCCTGAATCAAAACTTTCCTTCATTCAATTAAAAATGACAAACATGGGGACGTATACTTCAGTGACGAACAGAGATGTTGATTCTACCCCACACTGTCCTACTGCGTAACTGTTCCACAGCATGGAAAGCATATTTAAGCAGAGGAAAAAAACAAACCCAAGTGTTTAGGCACATGTGCATGAATTTGACAGAAAGGCACGCAGATAAGTAGACTTGATATTTAGTTCAGTATTGTTTCATATGCTCTGTGGTATGTGTAGCCAAAGGGATTTCTTAACAGGCCTGATTTAAGGCCTAGAGAGAGTTCTGATAAGATCGATTTATTTGGTTAAGAAATACTTTTCTTGGACCTATTTTGAAAAATGACAACACCCAGTATTACCACATCATAGGAACTGAGAGAACTGTAACATGAAAATCTGACAGGTGTAATTAGTAAGATATAAAGCAGGAGGAGCTGGAGCAAAACCGTCAATTAAACATATTGCTATCAGACTTCTTAATTCTTTGACTTGTTAAATGCGTTGGGAACAACATGAAAGCCATTTATGCCTTCACAATGAAAGGAAGATTGTTACTACTTAACTTCATTTCGGTGACAAACTGCTTTCTACAAAATTGAGCCCAAAGGACACGAACATGATCTTGGCCACACCTTGGCATTACTGGTTTGTGGCCTTATTTCCCTATCCTTTTCTGAAACCTATTCAACATGGAATCAAACAATAGCAACTCTGGCAAGAATCCTCCTATATACACAATGAAAAAATATTTCTGAGCTTCACAGGTGATAACACAAATGTCACACTTCTTTTCACGGCAACCGGAGGGCAGGAGTTAGTTTGGCTAAAGCCTGCAGGACTTTATAATGGCTTTAGTATTTAGAACTGTGGCACAATTAGCTGGAATTTCATTATCTTTGCTGGGATGGGTTTTATCCTGTCTTACAAACTACCTGCCACATTGGAAGAACCTCAACCTGGAATTAAATGAAATGGAAAACTGGACCATGGGACTCTGGCAAACCTGTGTCATCCAAGAGGAAGTGGGGACACAATGCAAGGACTTTGATTCTTTCCTGGCTTTGCCTGCTGAACTCAGGATCTCCAGGATTTTAATGTTCTTGTCAAATGGGCTGGGATTTCTGGGCCTGCTGCTCTCTGGATTTGGCCTGGACTGCCTGAAGATTGGAGAGAGACAGCAGGATCTCAAGAAGCGACTGTTAATCCTGGGAGGAGTTCTGTTCTGGATGTCGGGAATCACAGCCCTGGTTCCTGTCTCTTGGGTCGCCTACACGACAGTTCAGGAGTTCTGGGATGAGGCCGTGCCAGAGATTGTCCCCAGGTGGGAGTTTGGGGAAGCCCTCTTTGTGGGCTGGTTTGCTGGACTTTTTCTTGTGCTAGGAGGGTGTCTGCTCCACTGTGCAGCCTGCTCCAGCCGAGCTCCTCTAGCTTCGGGCCACTATGCCGTGGCAGAGACGCAAGAGCACTGTCAAAAACTGGAGATGAAAAGCACCAACCTGAAAATCTAAGCCAGAGGGACCAGTGGTATCTACTCTTCAGGAGATGCTTGCTGCACACTGGATTTGGTAGGATTTCCTGCTCCAGTCATCCATTTACTATGCTTTTGATTTTCTGAAATGCATTTTGTCCTGCCTGTGGTTATTAGTTTCTTAAACTGTAATTCCTAAGACTGGTAAACCACTTTTTGAGACCAAAACCAATCAAGACTTAATAGTAATTACACTCATTACTGTGGATGAGTTTCCCCAATTTTAAAATAGCTCAGTGATTGCACAGAACTGATAAATGGAACATTAGTCCTGTATCTTTGAAGGTATCATTCATATGGAGAGGAGTCATTTTGGAAATCATTTACTTCTTTCAGGTGTTTAAGATAATCTGTTATAATAAAACTAAGATCTTTTTGCATATTTATTTAAAATGCAAATTATCTAAAAAGATTGCTGGCTCCTTAACAGCTTTAGAGGAGAGTGACATGGGGCACATCATCTCCTCCTGAATCACTCAGCGCTCAGTGCCTCGGTGGAGCCTTTTCTGCAAGTCAGCCTTGTGCACTCACGCCTTCTTCCCCATGTGAGAACAGAGGAGGGCAATCTCGTGCTCCGGATGATTCATGTAGAATCTGCCACACAAATGTGCTTCTGCTTCTGTGTCCTGCGCTCTGGATCTGATGGCAAACATGCCCACCTGCCCCAGCTTGGAGCAGCCCAGGGGCCCAGCAGAGTGGGGAGGGGGCCTCCTGGGACCACAGCCCTGCCTTGAGGACACTGCCGGCTTGGGCAGTGCCAGGACAGAGCGCATGGTCGGGAGTCCTTCATTTTGCTTGCACAATGAAAATATTTCATCCTTTTTCTTTAATCAGCAGTACACACAGTCCAAACAAGTACTAATCACAACAAACTGCCAGCTTGGGGATTTCTTCATGAAGGACTTTATATCTGCCTGGTACGTGGTTCAAGTAAACTCTTGTGTTTGTGCCAATCAGGGAAATTAACTGAACAATAAACGACACTGAACTAAAGTATTAGGCAATATGTATCTTTGTTTAAAAAAAAAAAACAAAAAACACTGAATTGTTTTCCACCCACAAACACATGGAAAGTGCAGAAACCAAAGTTAATCTATGTGATGTATTTGCATACTTTTACAAACAAGACAAATTAAAACAGAAACATAGTCAAATTAACCTGATTAAATATTTAGTTCAGTCCTGAGCTTTTGATATTTAATATAATATAAAGCAATAGCAAAAAAAAGATTTTAAATTTATTTGATTTGCATGCTACAGAGATTCAGCTAAACTTTGTTCATTTGGCTAGCGATATTCTTTTTGTACCTGTAACACTTAAGATTCTGATATACAAAATTGTAATAATATACTGATAAGTCAAACTTGAGAACTAAATATTACATTCTTTTTACCCTGTGCAGAATAAAGTCTACTTTTTAAAAATAGTATTTATAATATTAAAATTCATATTTGTCCATATTGTTTTGTGATCAAGTTATTAAAATGTTTTGTCACTGTGAATCATCTGGGTTAGTACAAATATGAAAAGATTATTAAAAGCTGCCTATAAATACATAACACTATTGCTGATTTTTAAAGTGTGGAAAAAGGAATATTTAAAATAAGTTCGTCTCTCATGTTAGAAATGAGCAACTTTTGTAAAATAAACCCCAAAACATGTTGGTCACAACTGTTAACTACCAGCCTGAGACAGATTTTATTCTTTAATACTTGTCTGAAACTTTTTGTATTACAAAAAGTTAACAGCTAATCTGATGAAGATTTATAAAGTTGTAAATATTCCAATATAGCCTCTTCTATGCCAAACATTTAAAATGGCCAGAACCAAACTATATATTAAACAGAACATAAATAAGACCGTAAATAAATAAATGAAGAAAATAAAATCGTACGGTACAACTACACATAATCTATAAACATTTTCATGGTCAAACTAAGAAGCTGAAAACAGCTGACCTTCATTTACCTCTACATTAAATAAACTTCTTTCACATTTGACCTCGATAAGGATGAATGGTATTCTTTTTCTCGTTTTCCTTAGATCTAATGGAATGATCTGGGCAGCCTTGAAGGACTGTACTCAGTCATTCACTAGGCTGGTTTCTGTTCAAAGTAGAGTAATGTCCAGTTATGTCTTCAAAGAAATTTGTATATAAGTGGTGGGACATTTAGGAAAAAATAATTAAAGTTCTAGGCTCAGAAATTGCTTAGTTTGAACTTTGATTCTGATAAATGAAGTTTCCAAACTATGCATAATTACTTTCAGGAAAATAATTCTTGCTAGTGAGGATTCTAGCTTAGGAATAAAACTCTTTTTTTCTTTAAGGGGCCATTTCCTTTAAGACATTTTGCATTTCTAAAAAAAAAAGATTTAGTTTGCTCTATATGATGATAACCAAAAATTGCTTCTTCCAGTATAACAGACTATGTAATAAGTATGTTTTAAATTGCCTAAATACTATATATTTTAAAACCCTTTATGCTGGCAGAGCTACACTGAGGGTTTTTGTTTGTTTGTTTGTTTGTTTTTTGAGAAGTGCCTGGGTTGGGTAAGGTAAAACCCTAAACTGGAGGATGAGTTAGTCAATTTATCTGTCTTGCGCATCCAGAACAAATTTTTAAAAATGAATGATTTAGCTTATACTTTAAATTAATAATCTCTCCAGGCACACTCTTCCCTTTGCCTCCCAACTATTTACCATAAATTATAGATAGAGCCCCTAAAAATGAGAGCTGCAAAGTAATTTCTAAGTAAATGTTAAAAATCTGTTTGATAAACTATTCTTTTATTTTTGGCAACTTTAATTCAATCAAGATACCCTTTCCTCTGCCTTCAGTCTCACCAAATGAGTGCTGAGCCGTCTCGCTCCACGTCCCCATGCTGTCTGGCCTCCGGACACGGGGCCCCACTTAGCACCACCCTCACATCTAGACACAGCACTGGTGCAAGCCAGAATCTCCCGTTTGAACATGCAAATTCAGGCTGAGTTAGATGAACCAGCAGCTCACCCGATGAGTTCAATTTAGTGTATTTTTGTTCTCCTTCCTTCCCTCTTACCCCTAAGTGTCATGAATCACAAGGTCTTACATGTAGCCAGGAATATTGCTCCTTTGTATTCTTATATTCTTGCACTCAGTACTTTATATTTTAGCTTTCTTTAGACAAATACGAAAGGACAAAAAGGAAATTGTTTTAAGGAAACAAAGTGTGCCAACCTCAGTGATGGAAATGAACACAGCACCTGTTTCAGAGGGACTTGCAACTCTGCACTCAAGCTTATACTCACGTGTAACTTCAAACCGAAAGAGCTGCTCTCCGGCACAAAAACATCCCATGGCACTGTTGCCATCTTCACAGTCTACTCACAAGGAGACAAAGGAAAAGCAAAATCCACCTTCTGCTGAACGGAGTTATTTCTCAACAGTCAGCTCGATAGGGTATGCGCCGGGTACGGCCTCTATTCCATTTTTACAAAATAAAGCCCCTTGGCAACAGACACATACTGTACAACATCTGTGTACCAGATTATCCCATTTTTGTTATCTGATTTTTGTTTTCTGTTGTAAGCATATAAGAATTACATTCAAGGTACTTTACAAATCAACATGTTGAAAATCTGACGTGAAATAAAAGTTCAAGAGTTGACAGTTATGTTACAAAAAAAACCCCCAAACCCAAACAAAACAAAAAAAAACACCAATGTTCAGTCTTTTGCCCTAAGAAAGTGAACAAGTGAAAACACAATTTCTTAAGCCAGGTAATCACACGTCGTCAGCCGGCAGGGATGGGATGCTGATCTTCGCTCTGGTGAAGTAGGCAATCTTCTCCCTAGGGCAGGGGTGGGAAATAAACCAACCTAAATATGACGCTGAAAATACACCGACCATTAACATGGTCTCTGGGAACTGCAGTGGCATCGCTACAAGCCCGGGTAAGAGATCTTTTCCTTAGGAAGAACTCCATTCAAAACCAACCTCGTCCTTGCTGTCAAAGGCGGGCAGCCAAGGAGACAGCAGCTCAGGCTCATGCTGAGTCGCCTACAACCAAGTAAGTCCCCTTCTGGCATTTCCAACACGAGATGGTTTTTAAGCCGTTACAGGTTCGATCTAGGTATGGGTGTTTGTAAACCAGGTAGCAGAGGGTTCAAAATCCTACATGGAAACTTCTCAGTGACCTCACAGAGAAGTACCCGGTGCCGGGGAAATTCTTTAAAATCAATACCACGCTAAGGCAGGGACGGCCTGATGAGTGACAGCGTGTCCCAGATGCAGGGAGGAGGAGGAGGAACTCGGCTGCCGGACAGGTAAAAACTGTCCTGCATCCCGAAGCAGGGGCATGCGGAAACCACCGGACAGGAAAAAGCTGAGAAAGACAAAGCAAAATGGATGTGGGGTTAGGAGAGTGGTGAAAACAATAAGATTTTAGGGCTGTGTAGTCACCAATGACAAGAAAGCAGCATGTCTGTCTTTCTACAATAGAATCCAATTTCACACCACACAGAGACTCCCGTCAGCACATGTCTACTGAGGGCGCGCCGGTAGCTGGGAAGAGTAATACAGCACTGGCCGCCCTTGTGAAGTGAAGATGTACACAGAGGAGGAGGCACAGGGTGAGAAACTAGACTGAGGAGGGATGTTCTGAAGACCAAGGAAAAGAGAAGGAAAGAAAGAGTGAAAAAACTGTGCACATTGCAATGAGAGCTATTTTTGTGGTATAGCATCCTTTAAATTTGTTCCACTGCATAAGAGAGAATACGAATTTAACAAGGCAAGAGCATGGCCATGATGTCCGTGGATGGATGCCTTCGGGCACAGGGGAAAACTGGGGTGTTTAAAAATTCCTGAATCCGTTGCCTGTGCCTACATCTGAGATGCTTCACATAAAATTCTTGATTTCTAACTTCTCTTGAAAAATCAGAAGGCCAGGGAAGAACACGAGGCTCCTGATTCCAGATGAGGCAAGCGGCTGGGGCAGTGCCACCCCTGTGTGTCAGGGAAAGTGCCTGAGGCCCGCTCTGCGACCTGTCCCCACCCGGGTGGCCAGTGACATGACTGTGACCCGCCCAGCCCCGTTCACACGCTCCGTGCGCTGCCGGCCTCCAGGCAGCCCGCTCTGTCCCGCTCAGTCACCACCAGCCGGGGACATCATGGGTATCTTAAGGGAAGCCCAGTGTGTCTATGAATTCTTTGGTTTGAGTTTTAGCAACGACGGCAAGTTGCACGATTCTCCACGCCACTTGCAATGGGACCATGGCAGGATGGCCCTCGCCCTGCAGTTCGAAAAACCCAAGAGCCAGAACTCCCTAAAAGTTACAAAAGCGATTCTTTAGCAGGATAAAGGCAGGAAAAACCAAATTCTTTACTATAAAATGTCCCATAAAAATAAAAATACGCCGGGCATGAGCCCACCGGGTGGCCCTGTGGCTCCCACTCCCCGACACACACCCTTCTGGGGCTCCTGTCACCTATGTACAAGAGCTTCTAGAAGACTCCTCTGCACTTCCCAAACCAGAAACATCACCAATAAACCAAACCCTTCTCTGAACAACTTCTGCCTGGACTCAAACTGTCCCTGTGGTCGCTGTGGCCTCCTGACCAGCCGACTGGGGAACTCTCTAAGCCCCCGTTTGTGCCGTGTCTCACAGCGTCTCCGCCCTCCAGCCCCAGGGTGCCGGCTCCCCAACTGGCCACCCTTTCCAGTGTCTTCCCGGCCAGCTCTCCACAACGTCTCTGCTAGCTGCCCAAAGCACGATCCCATCATCTGCTTTCAGCTGGGAGACCCCTGCTGGCTCCCTCATCTGAAACCACAGGTGACAACCACCCGCACAGCAGCCGAAGCCTCAGGTACGATCTGAGCCCGGCTCTCCCGGACGAGCTCTCGCTGGCAGCTCACCACGCGTGTGTAACCTGGCACTGACCACCAAGGCACTGTGCCTGTCAGTGTGTCCTCCTGCCTCGGTACCCTGCTCAAAACTGCTGTCCCTAGGGCCTAAAGAACTCGCAGGCATCCTTCCATGATGGGGTCAAATGTCGCCTCTCTTCCTATCTTCTCCTGCCAGCGCCTGCAGCCAAGGCGGCTGTCCCTGCACGCTCCCCCGGGTGCCTACTCATAGCTCCAGAAAGCTCTCTGCACATGGCACCGCCACCATCCGGACACCTGCTTCCCGCCTGCAGAGTGGACCCCTACAGCAGGGCAGAAAGCGCGTGTTCTTGGTCGGCGTGTCCTGGGGCCTAGCGCGGTGCCAGGCGTAGGGGGCACCTGACGGATGTCTGCAAAATGAGTGAACGAAACCCAAGACACACGGCTTCTCTGCGCTATTTTGTACCGCGTGGCATCGTTCCTCGATGAGACACGCTACCTGCTACCAAGGGCTGGAGGCAGCCTGGGCTCTTGGGGAGCCAGGCTTTACCTCGGCCAGCCAAGATCGCGGCCCCCTCAGGAAGGAGCAAACGGAAAATGACATATTCAAGCTGGAGAACACAGGATTTTTGTCTCGTATCCTAACATTAACTTTCACTGCCTCGAGGTGAATCCCTGCGTGACGAGACCACACGAGGACAACCTGAAAGCTGTCCTGGGGCGGGGCGCCATACCTGAAGGACTGCACCTGCCGAGGCACCTTGCGGCTCTGCTCCCGAAGCCGACACACGTCCTTGGAGGCTTGCCGCATCAGCTTCTCCGCGCTCAGACCTTGCTTCTGCTCTTCTTTCGACTGTTCGGCCTGGCAGAGGAAATGAGCGCATAGGAAACCCACACCGCACTGCTTAGAAATCCCCGAAGGCTGCAGGCGCGGTGGCTCACGCCTGTAATCCTAGCACTCTGGGAGGCCGAGGCAGGCGGATTGCTCAAGGTCAGGAGTTCAAAACCAGCCTGAGCAAGAGTGAGACCCCCGTCTCTACTAAAAATAGAAAGAAATTAATTGGCCAACAACAAAAAAAATATATAGAAAAAATTTGCCAGGCATAGTGGCACATGCCTGTAGTCCCAGCTACTCAGGAGGCTAAGGCAGGAGGATTGCTTGAGCCCAGGAGTTGAGGTTGCTGTGAGCTAGGCTGACGCCATGGCACTCACTCTAGCCAGGGCAACAAAGCGAGACTCTGTCTCAAAAAAAAAAAATTCCCCAAAGACTTCCCAGACAGCTTGCAAGGGCAGAGACTGAGGTCGGGAGGGCGAGCCAGGCAGCCAACAGGGTAGTGTTGTTTTCACCCATGGGGACAGCACCCACTCGCCGCCTCATGCTGAGTGGGAGCAGGCACTGACTCTGGGGCGAGTTCATTTAAATCATATTTTAGAAATCTTATCATATAGGCAATACGTGACAATCTTACCACATCTGGAAAACCTAAGAACCCTCACCAAAGAAGCTGAAGACTACTTGTAGCACTGTTCCCCAAAAATATCTACAGTTAACACTTTGGCAAATATACTTTTATCCTGCTATTCCTCTTTTTGACCCTTTTTTTCTGTCTTAGCCATTTAAAAGGCTTTTTATTAAATTACATGGGATTTACCTATCAAAAAACTGCACACATAAAACTTTTAGAAATTGAACACACCCCTGTAACCAGCACCAGAGAAGGGAGAGAACACTCCCAGGTTCTAGGAGCCCCTTAGCACCCATCTGGTCACTGCCCCAGAGGGTTCCTGGCATTCTAACAGCACAGGCTACTTTTGCCCATCTTGACCTTGTATAAATGGAATAGTAGTCTGTACCCTGTAGGGTCTGGCCTCTTTGGCTCGACATTATGCTTATGAGAATAATACATACTATTACACGTAGCTGTAGCTCATTTTCCTCACTGCTATATCATATTCCAATGTGTGACTTTACCATAATATATCACCTTTGTTACTATGGATGGATATTTGGATATTTTGCCTGAGTACATTTTAAAAATAAAAATAAACTAATCATACTACAGAATAAAAGTTGATTTTCATTTCATTCATTCACTCACATTCATTCATTCACCCAATCAATAAATATTTTTTGGTTACCTTCACCTAAGGAAAGGTGATGTAAGTACTTACTTCAAAGGGTTGTTGTGAAGTCTAAATGAATTAATACATGCAAAGCACTTAGGGCAGTCCCAACACATCACTAAATATACTATTTCAGTGCTAAGTTAAATATACTATTTCAGTGCTAAGTTACTCCTGTTGCTGTTTTTATTATATGCCAGGCACTGGGCTAGCAAGTAGGGATATAGTTGTGAACAAAGCAGACGAAGTCCAGTGTCAGAGAAAAACAACAGAAAAGATTAGGCTGGGCGCAGTGGCTCACGCCTGTAATCCTAGCATTTTCGGAGGCCAAGGCGGGAGGATCACTCGAGGTCAGGAGTTCGAGGCCAGCCTGAGCAATAGTGAGACCCCGTCTCTACTATATATAGAAAGACATTAGCCAAACAACTAAAAATAGAAAAAATTAGCCGGGCATGGTGGTGCATGCCTATAGTCCCAGCTACTCTCGAGGCTGAGGCAGGAGGATCACTTGAGCCCAGGAGTTTGAGGTTGCTGTAAGCTAGGCTGACGCCACGGCACTCTAGCCTGGGCAACAGAGTGAGACTCTGTCTCAAAAAAAAAAAAAAAGATTAGACATTGTTTTAGTAATTATTAGAAATTAACATTATAAATATTTTCTCAGGTTAACAAATCTTCCTCATGGCATTTAAAAAAAATAGACTTTATTTTTTAAAGTGTAGGTTCACAGCAAAACTGAGTGGAAAATAGAGAGTTCCCATATACTACCTGGCCCCCACACTCGCAGAGCCTTCCCCACTGTCCACCCCCCAGAGTGGTACAGTGGGTACGAAGGATGAAGCCACACTGCTGCGTCCCCATCACCCCAAGTCTGCATTTACATCCGGCTCCGCTCTGGCGCTGGCCACTCTGTGGGCTCGGGCAAACCTGCAGCCACGCACCCACCACTGCAGTGTCACGCAGAGGAGTTCCACTGCCTAAAAGCCCTCTGTGTTCCCCCATCCCTCCCTCTCTCCCCGCCAACCCCTGGCAGCCACTCATCTTTTCACTGGCTCCACAGTTCTGCTTTTTCTAGAATGCCATACAGTTGGAATCACACGGTACATAGCCTTTTGAAATTGGCTTCTTTCACTTCTTAGTAATATGCACTTAAGTTTCCTCCAAGTCTTTTCATGGCTTGATGGCTCATTTCTCTTCAGTGCTGGGGAATATTCCACTGTCTGGATATATCAGCTTATTTAACCATTCACCTACTGAAGGACATTTTGACTGCTTCCAAGTTTTGGCAATTATGAATAAAGCTGCTGTAAACATCCATGAATTTTCAACTAATTTAGTCTTATATGTTAAAACAAATGGCTGGAGACTTACATAACATACTTCATGTGGGGGGAGTGGTGTCACCTGAAAGCAGCCTTACCAACACATACTTAAAAGCCGTAGTTAGCCTCATCTGACAAGAAATAAAAGCCTAATCTAATTTAGTTTATTGGTGCCTTCGGAGACAGCGGAACCTTACAAATATGTGAGTTGGCTTTCTGACATTTTTTTGAAAGCTGCCTGAAGAGCGGAACTCTAAGCAGCATTTCTGGGGCGGACACAGGGAAACCTTCCTGTCCGCTTCTCCCAACTCCCCAGCGACGGTGGGAAGCTCGGCTGCTGAGTGCTCGGCTGCAATGCCACTACTCAAACATTATTCAAGCTATTCAAATATGCCTCCTGCTTTCTGGTGTGTTTCCGAGAACCAGCCATGTTCACAGCAAGACCTGTGGACCACACAGGAACTGCAGCTTCTTTTAAAGGACCCCTTCGCCCTGCCCACTCCCCTTCCAGCCTCCATCCCCCCCGCCCCCCAATGGCGCGCCCTCCTCAGGGTCCCCAGGGCCTCCGCAAGGCAAGGCAGCAACTGTGTGTAGAGTCAATGAATGTGCAGGTCTGTGGGAAACCCAAAGTTTCCGAAGAAAAACCGTTTAAAAATAAAGGGCCTCCGGAAACCCCAAAAGTTTAAAACCACCCGTTTTGGTTTTTTTTCTAATGATTACTGAGCATCAAAAAATCTCTCTAGAAAGCTATAAAATAAAGATTGCTCCACTCCTCAGAGGTCGTGTTCTAAGTCACACTTCTGGCCCTCATCGGGCAGGGGTGACGTGAACTGGGGCAGGGGACACTACAAATGTGAGTCAGAGGCTGGGGAGACTTAGGTCACCTGGGAGGATGCCTCCAGCACACGTCAGCCTCTCGCCCTGTGGCCTCCTCAGTGGTGTGCTACGATAACAGAACATAAAACGCGGCACTGCGGTGGAGGCCGCTGGTCATGGCGGTGGCAGGTGGAGATGTAAAGGAAATGCTTGGGAAAACTTAGATATTGGCGCCTGTCTGCTGCTGTCTGCGGCTAGCGCAAAGTCTGGGGGTAGGGGAGGATAACTCAGGTCAGAGCTAGGCAGCCAGCACAAAGAGGTGGAAGGAAAAAACAGCTTAGCTAAAGGCAGTAGCCTACAAGCCTGCAATCTAAGTTGATGGACAATCCTGTAACTGGGATCCTTTCATAGTTGAAAAGTTAACTGCTTCCGCTATAACTTAAGCAGTTATAAACTTCGGAAGGAGATAAGACTGGGCTGGCAGAAAAGGAATTAAGGATCTCATCTTCCCATATGTACCCGCCAGACACCTTCGGGGACAGAAGTCAGTAAGGTCTTCAGGCTTAAAAGACATGACAAAGACAAGATCTTAGACTGTGGTTCACAGGCAGACTGATACCACCACTCTCCTCCTAAGAATCTGTGCTTCAGTAACACTACTGTGACCAGAACGCTACAAAAATATGTGTAGAAATGTGGATGTCCACATTATTTTTAACTGAAAATTTGGGCAATTGTCATTAGAATAATTAAATAATTATGATATATACAGTTGAAGACCTTAAAAATAATGAATTACAGCAACGTTTACTAATATGGAAAGATGTTCCTCATATATTACTAAAATTAAGTTGGGAAAAAAGCAAATTTCAGAACAATATTATCTGTATAACCCTATTTTTGTGTAACTCTTCCAAATAACACACACACACACACACACACACACGTACTCCACACAGACACAAAACATAAAAAACAGCTGAAAGGGCCTATACCAAACTGTCTACAGTGGTTACTTCTGGGGAGTAGGACCCCGCTGAGGGCTTCTAGTTTTTGCTTTTTATAGTTCTGCATTATTTGATACAATAAGGATGTGTTAAATATTTTTTAAAAAATTTTAAAATGTTCTCAAAGCAAAACATACCAAACTCATTTCAAATTTGAAAATAAAAATGCTGTAGCACTTTTGGGGAAGATGAAATTTTATAAAAATTGTTTATTCATCAAGTATATGTAAGGAAACCATTATATTCACACCACTTTATAGAAAGCTAAATATCCTACAGTGGGGGCAACCCTAGTACTTTGCTAATAATATGCTGTAATCACTTCTGAGTCTTTTTCACCACAAGATACCTTTTCCAGATGTTTATTACCATTTGCCCTCCCCTCCTTCTTTTGAAAGGTTTTGTCTATTAAAAAGCAGCCTATGATCATCCATCTATCTATTTTTAGAGAGGCTCTGGCTCTGTTGCCCAGGCTAGAGTGCCATGGCATGATCACAACTCACTGCAACCTCAAACTCCTGGGCTCAAGTGATCCTCCTGCCTCAGCCTCCCGAGTAGCTGGAGCTACAGGTATGCGCCACCACACCTGGCTAATT